ATTAATGGAACTCGACCTTTCTCACGCAATTTTCTGAGCAAAGATCGGCTTGATGTCGAGCCAATTTTCCAACTGTCACAATTTACCAATAGTCGCTTAGCGAAGAAGACTGAGAAACACGCGACAAATGAGACTATTGAATGGACCTCAACCTTCAACACGCAATATTCTGGGCGAAGTTCAGCTTAGCGTCTTTTACAGGTCACCAACTGTCAGCTAAAATGGCCGATTTATTTTAACACCATTAAGAAATGAAAGGAAAAACATTAAAACAACAGGAACCAATCAGGGTACTTATTACAGAGCAACGAGTAAGAAAAATATTTGCTATGCAAAAGATGCGAAGGCTGTTCAGGTTACATTAAGGTCTCTGTCAGGTTCTGCGCATAAAACTTCAGCTTCAATAGCCTTTCTGACATTATTATGATTTTCGGTTGCTCTTTTAAACAATAATCAAGCGTATTTAGTTTGGATCTCGCTTTTTCGTTTTCTATACATATTGGCGTTAGGCCACATACGGAAAATAATAGCATGCGAACTATTCTATTTTATTTATAGCAGTTAGCTGTATTTGTCTAGTCAGTCGAAGAACTTGCTTGTTGCCATGCATATTCTCAGAATCCCCGTCGTCAACGATTTCATTTATGATAATAGAACTAGGCCTAGGAGTTCAGTTTGCACATGTGGGGATATAAAATGAAGATACAAAATGAAGATACAAAATGAAGTATATTTTGCCTGAGCAGGTTTACGAAGAACTTCATCGACGAACGGTTTCGAGACATACAGAAAGTGAATGATTGCACCAACAATCGAAAGATGTCGTGTCATATTCGTTTGATTTCTAAAACTTAAAGGATCAATTGATAAACATTGCAAAACCCAGCGAAACCCTAATAACGATTTTACTCTGGAGAAACTCAGAAAATACTAAACATTGCTTTGAAAACTGCTTTCATCGTGAAGAATACATCCATAACAATAGCCTAAATCGGGAAGGTTCCTTGAAAACGGTCCACATCACATGATAGCTAAGGATGTTAATCAAAGGTTAAAAAAATACACAGTCATATACAAACTTACCAAGAAGAGAAGCCACGATACACAGAAGGCCACCATCATAACGATCATAAGACGAGCGAACATTTGGTTCATCTGTTGTCTTTTCTTGTCTGAACCGTCTATGTCATGTGTGGATGTGGACATTCGACGTTGGCGACGCATTAATCCTTTGACGCTATACATGACACGTGTGTAGCAAAATATCACTACAGCTAGCATCGAAAACCCGAGGGCCAGAATAAAGATACTGTAACCCATACTAGCAGGTCTCGTGGAATCGAAGTCAAAATGGCAAAAGCTGCCGTTGCTATAGGACCTCATTTTACCGATCCCTGTCAAAGGCAACATGGAGTGGGCTCCACTGAAGAGGAAGACTCCAATGATTATGTAAATAAGTCGTTTTTTCGGGAGATATTCCTTATACCTAAAAGGCATACACATCGCAACATATCTATCAATAGCCATTATTGTCATCACGAGCATTATTCCACAGTTTAGCGTGAAAGCTGTCCAACCAAAGATCATACACGACGGCGATCCTTCCTTCATTTCGTTGCCCCTCAAATATGCTACTAGAGTCATGTTCAGTGGAATGAGCGCCTTTAGTAGATCTGCAACGGCCAATGTGAAAATCAAAATATCTGGATTGTATTTCTGTTTGAAGCGGACAATCACAATAATTGCTAGAGTATTTAGCATGATTATTAAAACCTCGAGAACCAACAAGGTGAATCCTTCTGATTTACGAATTTCACTCATTGTGTGATCGCTGGCTGCGCTAATTGCCCTCCGGGATCCAATTCAAATTCTTCGGTGACCAGTAGTAGTAGTAGTAGCTTGTAGTTTTTTCTCCAAGGTAAACATAATATTTGTGTAGTGTGGTTCACATACTCTGTATTCGAGCCCAGCCGGAAATTCTTCGACCGAGTTCTCGACGGTAAAGGATAAACACTCACCTGATCCAGCGATATGAACCGAAATGTACTACTCTTAGGGTGTTCGGGGCAAGCTCGGCATACCGTATCACTTGTAACGCAAGGCGTCAACCGCGCAATAACTAAATAACGGGGATAGCGTTGCTTTAAGCCGATCCAAAAAAGTCACAGAATGAACGGCTACTTGTGACAAAGAATCATTGCAAGAGAATATCGCTCTTCATTGTCTGTACAGAAAGACCTTCAATCCGCTGCGGTTAGCGCTGTTAAAAGTATCTGTCTCCCTAGGACCTCCGGACTGTCGTGAAAACATGCATGTGCATCTTCAAAAGGTGTTAATCTCGGTTTTAATGCCTGGTCTTTACTGGCTGCACAGGACGCTAGCTATCGTATTCAAATGAATCACGGCTTGTCCTAAATATTGACTTTCAATCGAAGAATTTTGTGGTCCTTGACAGTGGTTTGTCATATTTCCGACAGATATTTGTACAAGAGCAAACAAAGCCCCCGAGGTCTTGACACTGATTGTTATTTCATAATTGGAAAGCCGCCTCGACGTCTTTGAAAGACGGCGCGGTTCTTAGAAATGTAATCTTTAAAATGTTCTTTCGGCCTGTGGAATCAGTACTTTTGCTCTATAATCCTCAATCGAATTACTTTCAGGCTCAATGGAGTGGTATTACCTTAATAGGTAGAGAAACTGCGTTAGAAATAAATCATGATTACTAGCGTTACCGGAATTCAAAGCGATGAAATGTCATCAAAGTTTAAACATACTAATCATACCTATATTATCCTTTTGATGAGAAACTCAATTTAAAGTGCCTCTAACAGGACCGAATGTATTCCTTCTAATTAGCGTTTGTAACCAAAACAGATTGACCCAAAGTCTGACTTAAATCTTTCCTGCTTGATTTTCGTATTGTTCTAAATCCCCCCTGATTCACTGCTCCCTGCTGAGACTTGAAGATCAAGCAGAGGAATTGCTCTTAAATGCCAAAGTGTTAGTACTTTCCATTTATTTGTAGAGGTTGCAGAACACTGGGTAAATAAAATAGGAAGGAATCTTTTACAGTAAATCTTCCTAAATCATCGGTTAAAGCGGCTTCGTGTTTTGTATCGAATTCGCTCGCTGAATACGTTGTTCGAAAACACGTGTGAAACAATGACTCAATAAGAGGCTCCTGCTCTCATGGGTAGGGTCAGATAGATTATGCCGTCGTGATTTCGGACATAATGCTATAATCAGAACATCGAGCATGATGCCGGTATAATGACTAAACTTCTTTAAAATTCCCTAGACCAACAGTTCGACAAGAGAGATATTCTGAGATGTTCTTAGCAAGTTTAACCTTTTGGTGGTCGGGATGAGTGAGGGTTGAGGGTTCCTAAAGCTATTTTTTAATTGCGATCATAAAGAAAATTTTGAGAATAATTTTTGGCATATCATTTTGTCTTCAGGGGTGACGCTCTAAAGCATAATGCTCAAATTTTCGAGCATGATTTATCTGACCCTATTGATGGGCCGGTGACATGCGACTAAGTTCTTGCCTTCTATTCTTTCCGCTGTCATAGCGTTTTGGGTATCTCAGGGTATGCCCGTACCGTACCCTGAATACCAAGCTTTTCGGTATCCCCTCCGGAACACCAAAAGTCGATAATATTGAGAGAAAAAGGAAGACTGGGGAAAGTAACATGGCGTGCATTTCAATATGTCGTGTTCATATAAATTGCTTGCAGACGTCAAAAATTGCCTTCCAAAGCTTATTCTCGCACTCGTGTGTGAAGCGAAGTGTCCATTTAATTTGTGATGAGATGTCTTAAAAAGACCCATCAGTCAGTAGTTTTAGGTGGGTTTTTTCACATGTAAAATATTCAGGAGGTAAATGGGTATCAGTTAAATGTGCCACGATACAGAAGGAGGATTTTGCTCAGTGATAGGTTTTTCAGTCTATTTCACGTTTGTCTTTCACTTGAAACTGAAAAAATGACTAAACACTGGTGCTTTTTTTTATTAACTCTGGGGCTGTGAACTATCATATATAATTTGTCTGACTTGCTTACTATTTGTGTGTGTGAAATATTCTTATTGTTCCACTGACCCTTGCAATGTTGTCAGAAGTTTACCACAAGTAAGAAAAGTGTCTTGGCATTTGTCTTTGGGTGTTAAGAAATTTTGGGTAGAATTGCAAACTTAATTTTGTAACTTTGTTAATTATAAAATAATAATAAATAATAACTGACTCTCAGCTCAGGTATGTTCTTAGCATGTTCTTAAAATGTTGGTTTATCTCAGCCTGAATGTTCTTATAATAAAGGTTCTTATGAAAATATATTGTATTTTTCCCATGCAGTTGATTGGAATGGTCAGCAGTTTTTGGTCTTAAATGGACTTGATTGACTAAGTAGTAAAGCACAGTAAAAAAAGGAAGCAATCTTCATTTATATTGTAACATCAGTGAAACATGTTACATGTCAATAGTAAATTTCTTTCACCATTTTTCTCACTTGTAAATTTCTATTATCATTATTACTATATAGGTTATTAGGAACCAACATAATGACCAACTCCCACTTGGCTTCTTAGCTCAGTTGGTTGAGAACTGCATTGGTATTGCAGAGTTTGTGGGTTCAAATCGCGCACAGGCCTGTATTTTTTTAAAGGACTTATTTTCACCACTGCTAAAGTAGAGTTCATTACTGTGAAGATTGCTCTCATATTCATTATTACTTTTGTACCAACTTTGTTAAATACCATATTTTCTTGAAT